AGTCTACAATCATCTGCTCATCATCACATGTTATAAACAAATCATATACATATAAGCATATAATCAATATATTGTCATTTGAGTCAATCTTCATATACACACCATATTTATAAGGACATTTAATGAACCCTTCTTCTCTAAAATGTCTATCATTACATAAATTCCAAGCCATCGGGGCTTACTTCAAGCCATACAATGCATTTTTAAGTGGTACATCATATGCTCTTTTCCCTTCATAATAAAACCTTCAAGCTGATCTATATATACTTCTTTCTTCAAAACATCATTCAAGAAAGCTGACTTCACATCTAATTGATGAATCTATCATCTATTCATAACTGCAAAAAAAAAAAAAAATCTAAATGTATCAAATCTAGCAACCTTTGCAAATACCTCTTCATAATATATCCATTGCTTCTACTTGTACCCTTTAACTACAAGTCTAGCCTTAAATTTGTTTACACCTCCATAAACATTATTCTTCACTTTGTACACACACTTAACACCAATGGATTTTTAACCTTTAGGAAGTGAGGCTAAACTCCATGTATCATTTCTCTCAATAGCATCAATCTCCTCTTTCATGGCATCCATCCATCTCTTATTTATAACTGTCTCATTAAAAGTTAAGGACTCTTCATCTATATATAAAGTAAATTGAGAAACCTCTTCATTATAATTTGTGGTGTCATATATCTCCTATGAGCTTCTTATCTTCACCTCTTTCACATCATTACGAGATGATTCTCCCAATCTCACTGTAGTGTGTGGTGGTGTTTGTTGCTCTACATCATCAATTTTTTTTTTTTTGAATTTCTCATAATTGTGGCATCCTCCTTGCTATCTTTTTCAAGCCAATCCCAAGCTAAGCTCTTCTCAAATCTCACATCCCTACTCACAACCACTTTCTTTGTTGAAGGATTATACAATTTATAGGCTTTAGACCATTCATTGTATCTTACAAGCACACACTTCTTAAATTTTTCATCCAACTCCCTTCTCTTTTGATCAGGTACATAAACATAAGAAATGCTCCCAAAAACTTTCAAGTGATCAACAATAGGATTAAGGGCACTTTAAATTTTAAAAGGGATTTGAGATGGATTATTTTTTTATGTTGCACTATTCAACAAATAAACAACACATAACATAGCTTCAGCCCAAAGAAGATTGGACACTTGCCTCTCCTTCAACATACTCCTAGCTAATCCCATAATGGCTTTATTCAACCTCTCAGCTACTCCATTTTGTTGTGGTGTGTATCTAGTTGTTAACTGATGGCATATATCATTCTCCTTCAAAAAATTTTGTATCTCATGATTAACTTATTCTTCACCTCTATCACTCCTCAACACCTTAATGAAATGGCCACTCTCCTTCTTAACAAGTGCTTTAAATTTTTTTAGGTATTTAAATACTTGTGACTTTTTTTTAGAAAATACATCAAAAAATTTCTGCTATAATCATCAATAAATATGAAAAAATAATAATTACCTCCAATAGAAGTAATGTGCATCGGTCCACATAAATCTGAATGAATAAGCTCTAATGGCTTCAAGGCTCTCAATAATTTTTCAACTAAAATGATGTTCTGCTATACTTTTCTACAACACATGTCTCACAAATCTTGTCTTGAACTTCAATATATGGAAGTCCATCAACTATGTTCTTCTGTCTCATGTAAGAAAGTATCTTGGAACTTAAGTGACTAAATCTGCAATGCCATAATCTTGAATGATTTTTTATAGAAGTTTTGAAACAATCATTTAAATTGCAAATCATCTTTATGGGATACATTTTATTTGGAATCACCTTCACCTTGGATATAAAAAATCCATGCTTATCTTTAATGGTACAAGTGTTATGAGAAAACATCAATACATATCCCTTTTGATTTAGTTGTCCAACACTTAGCAAATTATGCTTAAGATGTGGAACATAGAATACATGATATATTCTTTTCTCCCTTTCTTGTTTGCACCAAAATAGCACATTTTCCTTCCACAAATAATCTATTGTCATCTTATGTGCGTACTTCACTTTTGATTGAGTTATCTAAAGTAACAAACAAGCTTCTATTATCAGTCATGTGATTATTACAACCACTATCAATAAACTATACATCTCTTGAATCACCAAACTCCTTACTGTGTATAAGAAATGTTGTGTCTTCACATTTCTCCACTTCATTTTCTTTCATCATATCTACATTTGCCTCTTCATTCTCATTCCTCTTCCAACAAAAATGATAAGTGTATCCATACTTTTTGCAAACGTGATATTTGATATTGACAATGTTGTTTCTTCATCTACAAACAAGTAGATATGCACACTAAATATTGTTATGATATCAAATAAATATTAAATGTTCTTATTGTTTAACATAGAATATTAAATATTAAATATTACAGAATGCCTTACAGGAAATATGTGAATTATTAGAGGCTACTTTCTAAATATTTCTTTTACTAAATATACTACAAGAATATTAAATATTAAATTTTCTCTATTTTTCTAATTATCAAGTAAATATTGTTATATTACCACATAAACTATGAAACAAAAAAAAATCTTATTATTTAACATAACCAGAATTACTATTTAGAAAATAAGAAATTGCTTTAAGATTACATAAGCAATTATTCCTACTTTGATATGTAACCAAAAATCATCTGACATAAATCTCGAGGCATATTCTATTTGAAAGTTTTTGAAATTAAATTCAGGACCATATGAACTCTCATTTTGGCAAACTAATAGTCAAATTGAGCGACTCAGCGAAACAAACACAACAACACCAAAATAGGTCTAATCGAGGCCCAAATGGGTCCAAATCAAGGGACCAAATCACATTTGAAAGGGTTTAAAGCATTAATTGGATGGCCAAATGATATCCAAATATATCATGCTTATAGTCGAATCAAGCGCCTCAACGAGGCAAATCCAACGAGCCCAATATCACCTAATTCTGACATCATTAGGGTATATAAATGCTTGATAAATGCTCCATGATCAAGGGGACCATTATGAGCTATCGATGAAATACTCACAACATGCCCTTAATCTTCATATTTATGGGGTATGCTACTCCAAAAAAAAAAAAAAACTATAAATAAACCTATAATTCTTCACATGAGAGGGAGGAGGGAGGAAGAGGAGGGGAACAGGCACAACCGAATGTGCAAAGGTGAGCGTAATAGGTGAAACATTATATAAGAGTTCAAACTGGGATTTGTTATGAGTAATGGGTGATGACATGCGATTAATTAAGTAGACAGACGCCAACACAGCATCCGGCCAATGCATGTACAGGATAGAGGCAGTGTTCAGCAAAGTTCTAGTCGTTTCAATGATATGTCTGTGTTTGTGTTCAGCTACTCCATTCTGTTGATGCTGAATGCCGTGCATAACAAGAAAATCTTTAAGAGATATGTTTACGAATTCGGTGCCCCCATCCGTTCGTAGAACTTTAATACATTTCGACGTGTATTTTTCAATCTGGGTTTTAAAATTAAAGAAAATATTAGGAACCTCAGGATTGTTATACATAGTAAAAATTCACGTAAAACGCGAAGTGCCGCACCACCGTCGGACCACCAAGGGACGCCAGAGTTCTATCGAATCACCACCAGACAATCAAAGAACGTCTAAGTGTCACCCGAAGCTGGAGTGCTCCCTGACTCCGAAGTGCCACTGCCGAACCACCACTGACCCTGAAGTGCTGCTGCACTACCACCTAATGTTGGAGTGACACTTTCACATTTGTAATCTGGTTGTCTTTAAGGACGAGTCAGACCATTGTAATTTGCTCAAATTCTACTGGAATCATTTTCAATTGGGCTATGCCCCGTGGTTTTTTCCTTTCTCGGGTTTCCCACATAAAAATATTGTGTTCTTTGTGTGTGAGCTGGATATCCGTGCAACGCTAAGATATAGGATTATAACTCTATCGCCATGTATATTCTAGCCCGCAACAATTACGAACATTTTTTATAATACAATTCGTCCTCTTCAGACACTTTCAGCCCAATAACTCGACTTTCCCTCTTTCTCTCTCTCTCTCTCTCTCTCTCTCTCTATATATATATATATATATTCAAAAACATAATAAAGATTATTTCTGTTTTTTGTTTTTTTAGTTTTCAACCAATGCAAAAATATAGAGCTAAGTAAAGATGTAAATGAATTTAAATCTTTTAATTAGGTAATACATTTAAAAATAAATTCAAACTGTGATTTCTAGTAATATTTGCTGGGTGATTTTATTGAACGTTTGTAGTGTTATTTTTTTCAGATAGATATATATAAAAAAATAACTCTACAAACGTTCAATAAAATTACTCAGCAAAAGTTACTAGAAATTACCGTTTCATTTTATTTTTAAATGTATTACCTAATTAAAATATTTTAATTCATTTACATCTTTTACTTAGCACTATATTCTTGCATTGATTGAAAACTAAAAAAACAAAAAATAGAAATCAACTATACACTTTTTTTTTAAAGAAATTATTATGTGTGCAGTCCGGATTTCGTTATTAGGACTTCAATGACGTTCGACCACATCACTTATCTGCTGTACACAGCCTACGTAACGTGATCGTTTTTCAGAGAAATTATTAGGTGCAGAGTGCAGACGGGGTGAGAACCGTCCGCACAGACACAGGGTATCAAGCGGTACCCAGTGATACCGAGTGGTACCGAACGGTACCGAGCTCTGTTTTATACTAACGTGCGGACGGTTCTCCCGTCCGCACTCCGTACCTAATAATTTCTCCATTTTTCGCCTGGAGTCCCGACGTAAGCTACCTCTGAACTCTGCATGTAATAATTTCCCCTATTTGTGGGCATCCAATCTCAAATTCTAACCATAACTCTTCTCGTTCGGGTAACCTTTCTTTTACTTCACCGGAAAACGATCAGTGTAGAAATACGAAGAAGACAGTGACTCCGACAGCGGTGCAGCATATATCCAGAATCCCTTCTCTCCTCGCCCTACTTTACTTCCTCCTCAAATACTCCAAATACCTCTGCTTTGCGTCTTCTTCTTCCTCCAATCTCCCCCTCCCCTTCCTCCTTGCCTCCATCATCGCCCTCAACACCTTCAGTGCTTTCTCCCCGCTCACGTACGCGCCATCAATGTCCCCAGCCGTGAGCACCACATCCCGCATGTGCCCAGTCCCTTCTTCGCACGTGACCACTGGTCCGATAACTATTTCCCCAGCGGGCGCAGCCGATGCGAACCGCACCATCGTCTCCCCTGTGTAACTGTTCCGCTCCATCCCCACCGCTCGCCGGCTCGACACGTTAACCGGCTGACCCATCGCTGGATCAATCAAGATCCAACTCAGCGTCAGCTTGTTAGGTGATATAGAAGCCCCCGGAAGCAACGCCTCTGCTTTCTGCTCCATGGCGTCGATCAATAAGGGGGATCCCCGAAACCACGGTGAGGAACTGTCGGTATCTATGACGCGGGAAAATACGTGGGTGCCGCGATGGTAGATGTCTACAGCGGAGATTAGCTGATTGGGGAGTTGCACTTCGCCGGCGACGAATGCTTCTGGGAAGGGAAAAGCATTGGAGAAGAAGGAGCGTGGGGAGGTTGAGAGGAAAGGGAGGATTCGGGGATGGTGAAGAGAGGGCCAGGTAGAAAGGCAGAGGTGGAGCCAGAGATCAGATTGGGAGGAGAGAGAACGGAGGTACGAGCTGGCTGAGCAGGCTGCGGCGAGGGTCGGTCCGTCGACGACGGTCGGTCCGTCGAGGAGACGGAGTGTACGTGTCAGAACGTCGGGGTTGAGGTCCTCGATGGAGGTGGAGCTGGAGGCTGAGGTGGCCATTAATTCGGCGGGCATTGAGTAGGCGGGGTTAAAACTTCTCTTTTAGGGTAATTTTTAAGAAGAGAACTTTAATTACCACATTTAGTGAAAGAAGCAGGTTTGTTAAAAAATTTAAGAATATTGGCCAATTGTTTTGACGCGTTCTAAAATATTTTGGTGTTTTCATTGAAAGAGAGGGAGAGAAAGTGACAGGCAGAGAGAAAGAGAAAGGTTGAGAGTGAAGAGAGAGAGAGTGGCAGTGGCATATGACTATAGGAGTTTAAAATTAATTTTTTACAATGTTTACATAATTTAAT